ACATTGCGACAAATGGTATTTTGACTGGAAGAAATCGTGAATCCCTTTTCGTAGAGTCAATAACACTGATCGGTAATATATTGATTTTATTGTGATCTTACATGATCGTTATTATTGTCGGTTTTTCCCCTTTTATACCCACGTAAAAATCCTCAATATACAGCAGTTTTCGATAAGGATCATTCACGGAAATTAAACGACAGAGATGATTCCTTTCCGTAACACCGAACGACCTGAATTCGCCGTGTCGAAAACGATTCCGTTTTCGAATTGATAGCCTGACGGGCCACGGAATAATTCATGACCGCGGGGCATACCTGGGAAATTGTCGTCGAGGCGACTCCATGATCTTGTTATAACGAGTCGCCTCGTGCAAACCGTCGGTACATCACAATCGCAGGATGATAATTTAATGTAACGACGCGCGTTAGCGCGACCGATCGCAAATGAACGACCCCCCGGCTCGACGCGGACGGCGGTTCCCGTGTTAACCCGCTCGGCCCTACGAGAACAACCGTGGGGTCATATTTGACACGGAGCAGTCACGGATCGGCAAATCATCGAATCATCGGGCGGTACTCGACAACGTAACAAGTCAACAGGCGGTCGTTATGTATATTGGCGTATACTTGCCGCAGTTACGGCGTCGATTCCTGTTTCTATTGACAAATACTCCATGACGCGGCATGGAGGAGGGAGGCGATGATGCATTGCCGTACACGCGGCCGCGGAATGACATGGAATGCGTATAATCCAGACAAAATGAACCAACCTCTAGGAATTCGAACCGCTTGTCATCGACGCGAACGCGTTCGTGTCATAACCAATACGCTGAACACTCCCATCTACACTGTGATCGAGGCAATTAATAGAGTCACTGACAAATAGTGTATCAATCCCCCGAGTGGCTAGCTACGAAACATCACAGATTCGTTCAAAGAAAAACACTCTAATTTGTCTCTATGGATTGTTGCTTCGGATGGTATAGTTTGAGAACTACAACCATCTAACCTTAGTAACCCTTTAACTCGATGAGCTAATCTAGTCGTTACGGTTCTTCTAGCATCTAACAAAGATAAAGTTTCTGAGACATGAACGGAGTAAATCGAAAATCATCGCGAGACAAGTACCAGAAGGTGGTATAGGAACACTTATCGAAACATTTATATTCTTAGTGTCAAAATAAGGTAGAAGTGGCACGTCACTGCCCTACGCAATGGATAGACGAAGACTCGATGCTTCTAAAGAGGAGGTTAAAAAAAAAAAAAAGAAATACTAAAATCGAGTGGTCGCGACGAATTGAAGAATCGACGACGACAATGCCGAGTGGCGTTGAAGTGGCTGTGACGGATGATAGGCGGCACGAGGATCGACTGGCGGTTCGCGAAAGTGGCGTAGGAGCAGTCACGATACACAACGTGTAACAATGGAGCCAATATCTGTAGAAAGGTGGGTGCTCGTAACGTGCACACTCGACGCGCTGGAAACAAATGTCGTGCCTATGCGTGACAACCCTTATTGCGGGCGACTGGGGTGCCAGGGTGGAGGTGGTTGGTGTGTTTGTGAGCTGCGTGTTTATTGCTCGACCTGGCAATAATAACTGGTTATTATTCATTAGCCCGGTCGCACCGTGTTCCCGAACGCACGAATGTCGCGCTCGGCAGTCACCAACACGAATCGACGCGAATCCCTCTTTCCTCTCTCTCTTCTTTTTGTTTTCCCGGGGTTCCTCTCGAGCCGTCGAGGACACGACGATTCGTGAAATATCGCGCAGCGAGCTCACCCCTTTCTCGGGACAGGGGGCTCTAAAAAAAAAAAAAAAAGAAAAGCGTCACGTTATAAACTACCGGAGCACGTACTCCACCTCCGAAAGATCCATAGGAAATCTGTAACCTTCTCGACCATTACCGTACACACGAATAATCGATTTATCGCGAGTGCGTGGAACAAACTGTAACAGTGCACGATGCAGTTAACGATGAAAGAAGGTCCTGGCTACTGATCTCGTTCGTCCACACCTAACGCAAAGTATACCATTCGTATACGATCGAATCCCAGAACAATCTATCGACATCCCGAACACACGATTACGTACAAGAATGCATTACAGGCTTGTACGTTCTTAGTAACGATACGGGGTGAAAAGGGAAAATACGTGTGTACATATACATGTATATACGTGTATGTAGAAAGGCTAGTACGTCGCAAACCTGGAGCATGAATAAGCCAACGGGCAAAGGTGTGGTTCCCAGGCGTCCACGGTAGGAAATCGCTCACCGGGGAAGAAAGATGGAGAACAGAAGCCAGGAGCGAACCAAGACGTGATTAATATAAAAGTGGGCGGAGCCTGGTCTGGCCGGAAGTAGCCGAAGAGGGATGCTGTGCCGTGCCAAGCAAGCGCGAAAACGGGGGTTATAGTGGCGGAACTGTGTGTTGGTACACTGTACCGTATGTATCTTCATCCTAGACGGGCTGCATACACACACACACACACACACACTGAGATTCACAGCCGCGCCCGGGTACGTACGCGCATACGTATGTATAATGCGTGTGTGTAGATCGGCTGCGTTTGAAGTGTCAGAAGAGGTGAGAAGATGGACGAACGAGGAGTGGGAGAGGGAGCTTTGATGGCGGGGATGATGCTACGAAATATACACCGCGATTGACAAGTAACACCCTTCGACCAGATCTGGACACGTTCGGCGGAGCAACGAGGAAGGCGTGACGACGGAGTCTCGAATCGTTGCCAGGTAATGCCTCTGTGTGTTCGATCGTCGTCGACGGTCCGTCGGTGCCGCGCACTTAGACACCACAAAGTATAACACGTCGAATCGATTCGACGAGGATGAAAAGCGGATCAGAACCGAAAACACGTGTCGGACATATTCGAGCACTTAGCCAGACGTCGACGTCGAGATTCGCGGACCTCCAGCCTCGAGGAGGATACCGATCGTACCGGAGCCACACGGCAACCTGTTTTACCGTGGCCGTCAGAGGGTCGTCTTCACCATTGAATTTGGACGATATCTTTGACCAGCCGAAAGGGACCAGAAAGCAGATGGGGCTCCCATGGAGGGCAACCTTGAGGAAAGACTGGAAGACACGAAAAAGGAGGGAAGACGGGCAGGAGAACGGGGGGTGGTTGATTGGCGAATATGGGGATCGAAGGGAACCAAGCGATCCACCAAGGGGGTTTCGGTGACGCGGGGGGTGCAAGGGTTGACGCGCGGGGGTGGCCAACCCCACCTACTTCTTTAACGCCCCCAAGTAGGGTAGGACCGCCTCCGTCTCTGCGTTGTTCCACCTACTACACCCCGGGACTTCTGCAGTCTCATACCTATACCACCCCCGTACACCAGCATCCTCCCGTAGCTACCTCTACACACCCATTGACTATATCCTTCGGAGAAAAATCGCCTCTATTCCCAGGTAACACGGGCCGTTTCTCGATTGAAGCATAACTGCCATTACCAGACGAGTACACCCGCGATGCTGCCTCCGATCTTTTTTCGGCGTATGCTTTCGATAAATAGAATGACAATAATGTTACTGGAGAAGTAAATGTTTCTTTCTGTCAGGTAAATTAAACGTGTATCTTTACTGCTATCTGTAAGTTGGCAAAGCAACGCTCTGGAGCCACGGAAGGGTTGGCTGTCACCGTCCTACGCATTTAGACTGAAATTGAGTGTGTTTCTCTGCATTTATTAATGATGAGCACGAACGAAACAAATGACCGAGATTACTGTTTACAGAAACGAAATATTCAACGGCAAGCTGTTGAAATAGCCGAGCCAATAACATAATGATTCATATCGTAGTATTATATCATTCGAAACTCCAGTCAAAGCAGCCGTGGCCACTGCCAAGATTATTTTTAGGAAAAATGCGTTTTGCCGGAAAGATTTCTGTACTAAGGCAGGTACGCATTTAGTTACTCGAACGTAGTTAATCTTGGAACTGTGTAGCGAGATTTATTTGACCAACCATTCCGCTTGTCCGGTCCACCTATTTGTCTTGTCAGGATCGTTAAAGTGTCATTTCCACGAATATCACTCGGCTAGCTCAACGTAAGATCAATCAGAAAATCGCCAAATCAACGAACATTTATGTATATTATAACGAGACTTCTTGCGACGCTCCTAAACACCGAGACACAATAATAAAAAAAACACGAGACCCGTTGAAACACACGAAATTTCCATCGACCTCTATTCGTTCGTTAGTCGCGAAGAATGATCGATGCCACCCCGTGAATCGTTTCGTTTACGCCAAAAATTGATAACATCCATTTTCGTCTTCTCCCTATTTCCATAATGACCCAGTTCCACCGATCAAGATACGTGTACCTTGTCGCGTAAAATGAAATCGTAATCCCAACTATTTCCGTACTAAATATCGTATCTATTTCTGATCCCCTCGGTGTCCCACACCGGAGCGGGGGTAAATATTACAACCGGAAATTGATCCATGAGATTATAACACCGGTTCGGTTCTACAAGTGTCCATGTAACCCCTGATATTTCTACACCAGGTTCTATATATTCGTGCAATAAATTGTCACGGTAAAACCGCGAACCGATTCGAGTCGAAGAACAAACAGAAAAAACCAACGAATACGAATGATTGGAGAAATTAAGAATACAAAACAACAAGCGACTGGTGCGTAGGTTGCGTGCAAAAGGGACTCTTGATGATGGCACGTGGCGATCATCATTGAGTAAGAGGAACGCAAAGAACGGTGAATGAAGCAAGCGGCGGAGAATGATGAGACAAAGAGACAAACTTAAATAGCGAGAAGAAGAGTAAGAGAGAAAGAGAGAGAGGGGGGAGAGAGAGAATGCGTGACGCGTGGATGCAACCGATACGATCGTGGCTCGAGCAATGACAGACAGACAGGCAGGCAGGCAGGCAGGCAGTCAATCAGGCATCGAGTGTCATAAGCAGTGCAGAAGACGGAACAAGTGTTGCAGGGAGGTGGTGGTGTTGTAAGTCTCTACCTGGACGGGTCTCCAGCGTGGTTCCAGCATGTCCCGCTTCCTCCTCGACGTCTCGTTCGTGGCTGTCGCTTGTTCCTCCGTCCTTCTCTTCGTAAGAGTATTGTTCTCGGACGAAACGAAACGGAGACACACGACCCGTTTCTTGTCTCTCCTCTATCTTCCACGGTCTTCGTCCTCGTGATTCCGTACCTTTCCTTCCTCTCTATCGTCTTCACCCCTCCCTCCCCCTCGAGATCTCTGTCCCTCTGCCACCTCTCTACCTTTCTCCGTCTCCCCCCTCCACACCCAGTCCTTCTCCACCCCCTTCTTCGTTTCTTCCTTTCTCCTCCCTTTCTCTCTCTTTCCCCTTCTTTGTTTCTCCTTCCTTTCCTATCTATCCGTCTATAATATCTATTCAATCTGTATCCTTCTCTCTTTCTCTCTCTCTCTCTTCCCCTGTTCCGTGTGAAAAGATTCGACACCTCCGCGTGCGCGCCACGTGTCTCTCCTCCGGTTGCTAGAGTCACGATATCCCGATTCTCTCTGTTATCGCGGCTTGACTGTCCCGCGCGCGGCAACCGACGGGATTGTGCAACGGTGGCGGCGCGGTTTCTACCGGCAAAGGAAGGGCGATAGGTGTCGGCTTGGTCCGAAGAACGGTGGCTGCGTAGTGGTATTTTTGTTGGGAAGGGTTGGAGGATGGTGTATATATATGTATATATATATATATAGATAGTGATGGTGTGACGGTGGTGGTGGTTGGTGATAGTAGTGGTGGTGGTGGTAACGACGGAAGGCGCCCTCTCTTGCAGACGAAGCTGATCAAGCGTAAGGCAGCGTGTGGTTTCGTCCACGTCCTGATCCTCGTCGTCGTGCCGTCGACGCAGGAAAACGTGCGCTGAGGACACCCGTGCGGAATTGAGAGAGTGGTGGTTTGAAGAAAAAGGGGTACCGCGCGCCGGTGGCTGCCGTCGCGACTGTGCGACGCTCGGCACCGCTTGGCCGCGAAACCCTACGGACTCACCGAACACGCGGCTACTGAGTCGGCGCACTCACACGGCCTCCCTCTATCTCCATCCCTCCCGCCACGTTTCCCTTCCTCTTCCTCGCGCTCTTTATCGTTGGTGTACAGCGATCTCAGTCCCTCCACGATAGCCCTGTTTCACTCGGATGCGCGATTCTCGCCCGCGCGTACATTCGTCGCTCGCGCGCCCAGCCGCTTCTGCCTCAACGTGTGTATATCTGTCGCTCTCTACATCGTGTGTCTCTTGTACGCGTTTTCCTCTCGTCTTCCTCTGTGGTCACCTACCCAATGCTTCTTGGTGTGTTCCAGCCGTGCAACTTACCGGGAACTCCTTCGTAAATACGCTCCCGGTTGGACGCGCCAAAACGGATGAAAAATTCGAATTGAATCTTGAATGTCGTGTCGCGACACTTGCTTTTAACCCCTCGACGCAATGCATTAGAGTACCCTTTCAGTGGTGAAGAGCTTTTTTTTGGAAAAATTTATACGATTCCAGGAGGATTTTTGTTTTAACTGAATATCATATAGGATAACTGTTGAATACCTTTGTAAACCTTAAATACCTTGAATTTTTATCTTTTTCATTGTTCAAGTTAACGTACTTTTAGGAGCGAATGTATCAGAGACTGAAGATGTCGGGCACAGTTATTGTTATCGATTCAGCCTAGTCCTAAGCTCGCAGTAAAGGCGACGACCTATTTTAATGCATTCATCGCGTTCCAGGTGATTCATCATCGTTATATGTACACACACACCAGTTCCCAGTTAATCATCAATTCGTTATATCCTCCATTCATGATATCTAAATCTGTATACACACGAATGAGATTGTGTCGTCATTCTTCCAGTTGTACATACAATGTCAATACACAATTTTTTAATTGCTTACTTGTAATCTCAAAGAGTTGTACGATAAACTTCACTGTGTTCCGTATGTTTAATAAGATGTACATTAACTTGTAATAAAAGATTTCACAAAAATCCTCATTTACTAAATTATCCTACATTTTTGGACAATAGTATATGTTTATCGATCGTTGGACGTCGTTCAGAACTTCTTTGTTGAGCTGCAATAATTGTATGCAATTCCATTTCGGTGAGGGTAGAACGTGAATATGGAAATTCCGATGAAAACACGGCAGACGAAAGAGTGCGAGAGCTGATACCGGCAGAGGTTACGGAAAGTTATGCAGGGGAGTGACACATATTCAAGAAAGGCGCGCGCGGTACACAAGATTGGAACTGTCACGGTTATAATCGGAGCGATAGCGAATGATGGGGGCTGGGGACAATGTGGGGAAAACAGGTCGCGGAGAGAGGGTGGAGAGACTTCACATCGACTAGTTTGTTGTTGTTTGTTTGTTGTTGTTGTTCGTCTTGTTTCTCGACACCGAACCAAACCGTGGAACAATGTCGAGAGTATAGCTACGGTATTGATAACAACCTTCAACGGCGAGGGAGAAAGAGGGGACTGAAGGGAATGAGATAAAGAGAGTATGCACACGATGAGGGAACATTGTACACAAATAGGAGACAGAAATAACATATTTTCAAATCTAGTAACAAACTAAAATTTTCAACCAGAAAAAGAACAGTAAATTTTGTCCTTAATCCTTTAATATTATTGATCCGTCGATTAACGGTTCAATAATATTGATTTAGGGTTCCCAAGTTTTCTTGTTTCTTTTATAATAATGTTATTAATAAAGAAAGAGTGTGTTAATCGTTCCTCATCGAAAATAATATGCGGAATATGGATGAAAATAAGATTCCCCGGAAAAGGACATCGTTATCGCTTAAACGCTCCGATATTCGGCGAAATATCGCACAAACACCATCATTCTGATGAAAAGATTGTCAATAACCTCCAACACCTGTTGCACAGTTTAGCGACGGATTTTATTCTCACGCGTGGATTATATTCATTTATTGGCTCGCGGATTTCACGGGTCACACATCGTTCGCGTCGATGCACAGCCGACATAAACGCTTAATGCGATTCATTCGCGCAGTAATAAAACTACGTTTGCTGAAAATTTCTGATAAAATTTCATCCGCCACGATCAATCCCGGTCAATTACCACCGATTAATCGTTATGCGCTTGTTAATTGAGAAGAAGTTTTCAAAATTCGTTTGCCATACCGTGGACGCACGTTTAAATGTGCCTGATCGGCAAGGTTACACAGTTATTTAACGGGAAAAAAATTAAGGAAATATTGTCTTTTCGAATTGTTGTCACTGAATGTTAACAAGTTCTGAAAAGATTATATTCTACGGCTAGTGTTGCGACTCGTCTAATTTTCAGAAAGCCATAAAAAAAAAGAAAGTTTCACACAGCTACGATGGAAGAATCATGCTGTTGAACCCCTCAATCTAGCCGGTTGCGTGGGAGCTGCAGTTCGTAGTGTTGTTGATTTTTGCATAATTTATCAAGGTTGTTTGGTTAAGCGAGCCGTTAGGGTGAGTCGCTGGGGTTGTCGAGCTTGGGGATTGCGCGATGGGGCGACAATTTCAGACACCCTTCGCCAAGATGATTAGCATCCGCTTCAGGGACGTACTTATTTCCAGTCTTGATACTAATTTTTCTACATTGTTATAAAAAGTACAATATATTCCAAGAATGCAAGACAAATTTGTTTTACACCATCCTATCAGTTACTGTATTCGTTTCGTTGGATTTACCACAAGATTCTAGGCGTGTCTGACCACGCACGTCTGGATCTACTTAATAACCAATAGTTTTTACTTTCTTTAACACAGATCCTATTGAAGACAATGCGATGATATTAATATCATAGGAGACTACAAAATTTAATAATCGTCTAGAATACTCAAAATAATAAATTTCTAAATCGTACCTTATCGATAACTTTTGTACTTTGTTGTAAAAGTATTAGAGTCGTACTCCCGCGTTTTCTAATCCTGTACTTATTGCTTTGTTTATCTTACTGTTCCTCGCGTGTCTGACTACATGCATCCGAATCTACTGGACACGATCATCTAGTCTTCTGTAGAAAATCAATCGAAGCTTTATCTCTATGCAATCAGTGACATCGTAAGTAAAACGTCAGCTGGGTTACGCTCCGATAAATTAGTACACTAAAAACTATAATCACGCTAAATCATTTCTTTTTAAATGAAAGTCACAATTCCCATTCTGGCCTGTTTCTTCCACGGATTCCTCGACTAGGACAGCCCTGCCCGACACGTAAGCAGGCATATCGTGAGTACACGACGGAGTTGTTGTGGATGGGAATGGGTGGACGCAGGGTTCGCACACAGAACGAAGGGGTTGCGAGGAGCAAAGGGGTGTCCAGCGATACCGGGGAATGGGACATCGAGGAGCGGCGGGGCGAGGGAGGGGGTGAAGGGGACAAAACCCGTCCTATACTATACTACTCTACAATAGTTGTTTACCAGAGTCATACTGATCGATACTCAGTGTTTGCTATCAGAGGGAACCATGCATGCCGGGCGCTACTTGCCCAACACCAAAAGTAAACACCCACCCCCGTCCGCTATCACCCCAACAACACTCCCACCGTTCCTCCAACGACCGGTTAGCGGCGAATTCTCACTCTCATACACACACGTACGGTCACCCTTCGCTCTATCCCTCTCGTTCTCACTTACTCTTCCAATCTCTCTTAGTATCCTAACCGATCTTCGTGAAATGCATAGACATTCAGTCTGCGTGATGCCAAATGCACACGCGTACCACCGTGCAAATGTGCAGTCCGTACGTTTCATCCCCCCTCCTAGGATCGTTCAGTCTGCTTAGGACATAGTACATTTCTACGTTTCGTGTATGAGAACCATGGTGGCTGCTGCCTAGAACAATGTAGCTCTGGGTTAAGCCGCCTTTGAGATCAAAGTGATCGACTGTGCCAAATAAAGAATGAAGGATGTTCACAATAGGGAGTAGTTGAATAAATAATCATAATACACTGATGTTCTGAAGTTAATATTATTGTTGCAGTACTAAGCTACTGTAAAATATATATTATATGAAAAATATTTTCTTCCGTAAAAACTTAAAAGTTTTCTAATTGTGTCATAAAATAGTAGAAATGAAAGTTGTAAGATTTAGAGAATATTCAAGGGAATTAATGGGCCTAGAGGATCTAGAAACGATGCACGTACCCAGACGCATCCTGTCTCCCTGCGCCGTGCTTCTACGTTCTACCGCCCCTTCACGGTACAAACTACACCCGCAGGAGCGTGCGAGGGGAGGCGGTTGTCTCTGAACGATCATAGCCAGGTCC